TTATAGACTTATAAGATATAATAAAAATTACTTTGACTTAAGTTTTATACTTAATATTATTATTGGACTATCGACTCTAACTTACTAAACAAATTGTTTGTGTTTTTTGTTATTTAACAAATTTGTGTTCTTGTGCTACTTGAATGCAAGCAACTAGTGGAAAACAAAAGGCTTGAAACACAATAATTGCACTAGCAATACAATGTCAACCATGAAAGTGAACACAAATAATTGGTAGAAAAAGGCCTTACAGGGGAGTTTCACAGGGAGAGAGGTGACACTCTTGGATTGGAAAAAAAAATATTAATAATAAAGAAGATAAAAACAAATCAATGCAGTGTTGACACTTGACATCTAACAAAAAAAACCTGTGAAACTCCCTTATACTTGTAATATTGTTGTAATAAGTACTCCCATAAAGATATGTTTGCTTCTTCTTTTTTTCGTTTGTCCCAAATAATAGGCAACATTCCTTATTGAAAATATAGTTGATTCCTTAATTTTCTAATATGCCATATTTAATTTGTTTTGTTATCACTAAATATGAATTAATCATATTTCAAATTATTATTTAAGGTAGGGCTACATTAGGAGAAATATAAGTAAAATTTATATTTCCAACTTCATTAGTTATATTTTCTTAATCTGTATGAAAATGAAAGTAACTTTATCTTTATGAGACGAATTTAATAGCTTTTGATTGTCTGCACAATGAGGATTTTGAATCAATTTGATTCACCTAGAGACGTAAAAAAGCACAAATATACAATATATCTTTTATCTTATCACATATTTTCTTGTACAATATCGTGTAAGTTCATATAATATCATACATTTTTGTAGAATTTTGTTCAATTTCTTGCATTTTTGTCCAGTTGCATACAATACCGTACATTTTGTAAAATATATGCATACAAGTAACACAAATATCATATGTGTTGATAGGTCCAAAAATGTTAGGCAAAACTCTGCACTTGTCAAACGAAGGCCAATTCCTCAATTCTTAGCTTTAGTAGCATTTGACTATATTGAACCATGACGTCGATGTCATTCCTCGGTCTCTTTTTGACTGTAGAACGCGGTCGAGCATGGAAATCACAGGGATTGGATGATGAGTATTTGTTAGGATTGAATAATGTGCGTTCCTAAAGAACGAAGATGCCTTCATTCTATTTTTTTGTTGGGCATACTATTTGTCCAATGCGCTCAATTATGTGTTACATATAGGCATATACACGAGAATATATTAATTCAAGTGAAATAAAGAGGATAAGGTTGTTGAAATAATTGAAACCTAAGAGGAAACTAATAATCTCATAAGAACATGTTTTGCTAAGCTTTTAAGAAAAATAAAGCTACTTTTTAAATTTTTTTTTGTTTCTAAATATGTTTGAATAATTTACCCTTTTCACTTTTAAGTACAAAAGAACATTATTCTCAAAAAAAAAAAAAAAAAAAAANAAAAAAAAAAAAAAAAAAAAAAAAAAAAAAATTATAAGTAAATTTACAAAAAGTTAAACTTTAGAGGAATCCTTATTTTGTTCCCCTTAATGCTTACATTATGCTGATTATGTCTCTCTGTCCATTGCTAACTTTTACTTTAATTTCTTATGATACATTATGCTCATTTTGTCAAACATGTTTTTTTTTAATCTTATTTGTCGAGGAAAACTAGGTTTTCTTACTTATAATATTTAGGTGCGTTGAGTGAATTAATTAGTGATCATTAATAAGGAATCCACCAAATGCAAGAGCTTCTAGATATTCAAGTCCTCAAACATTGATTCCAAGTTAGGTAAAAATACAATATTGCAATTGACACGCGTCTTAGAATGTTACAAACCATATAAATCAATTAAATACTTAATCAGTATTTATTTTATTTTAAATGTCCATTCTACGTATTTATTTTATTTTAAATGTGCACTTAAACTATTGTTTGATCTCAATTTTTAAAAAAAAAAAAAAAAAATCATTTTCGATCACATATTTTATGAAATTCATAATTTTTATTAACTTTTCAACCACAAATTTCGTCTTTTTTTTTTTATAATCAAAATGTACTAAAGTTCTGATTTTTATCCAAACCAATCGGGGGCTAGGTTTGATATTATTGAGTTTTTTTTATAAAAAAATTATCCTTTGTTAATCCTTAGACATAGATACAATAATTTGGAAGTCAAAACTTTAAAAAACCAATATCTTGTTCAAATATGTTCGACGGACAATAATCGAGTTATGTAGGGAGTCGAAACCGTTTTCTAGAAACTATATAGCAGCCACAAAAAAAAAAAAAAATTGGATTGATTGAGGTCAAGTATAGTCCTAATATCAAGAATGATGTGACATTGCACCAAACATCCTATATCTATAAACCCTAGAAATCTTTTGACTCTAATAATGTTTGTAATGGACTATCCACATCGATCTTTAATAACATGCATATACATCGAGAATACTTAATTTTCAGCGTCTTTCACGTGACTAGATAAGGGCTACAATGCTCTCAAATTGAACTCATCCTTATAAAGTTCCCTTAAAAATGGCTTTTAGAGTACGCATGTTTTTCTTTCAAGACTTTTCGTGACCCTCATTATACATCTATTTATCTACGTATATATAAGGTCTGTCTAGTACTCATTTAGAAATTATTTGATTTAAAATGACCCCCCAATAAGCTTCTAACTATCCAAAGATCAACCATAAGTTACTAAGCTAGAAAGTTCAACTTGAGGCATGAAAGGAGAAGAAAGAGCTAAAAATAAATAAAATGAAATTTTTTTTTGAGTACCGAGACTCCCTGTATGCACAACTCAATGAACATGCATGACCAAGTCAATATTCACCCAATGCAACATAGGCCATTGCCTTGGGCCTCAATTCTTGAGGGGCCTCAAAAAATTAAAAGCCCAAAAATTCAACAAAAAAATTCATTACTTTTTTGAGTTGGTCGTTTATTCCATTTAAAAGATTTGACTAAATAATATGATGGACTAAATAAGAGGCCTAAAACATTTGGACGCTTACATCCTTAATGAGCTTAATTTAAAAAAAAAAAAAAAATCTCTCATGATTTTTTAGTGGGTGTTTGGTGAGGATTAAAATTAAATTTTTAGTAGATTTGATATAAAATTTTAAAATGTGCAGTTGAAAAGCTGTGAGATCCATGAAAGATGTGGTTAATATTGATTGTTTGACTTAGACTTAGAATAAAATCTGATTTTAATTCGAAACAAACAGAGCCTTAGTAAGCTTATAATTTTTTTTAAAAAAAAATTAAAAAATTAATTTTTATGAAAGGGCTTATTTTATTTTTCAAAAATAATATAAAAAAATCAATTTGAATAGAACGTGAATGATACTAAAGAGATCAATAAGCTTATAGAAAATTATATTTAACAGTTTCGTAATAATTTATCCCCTAGGGCCTCGAATATCTTAAGGCTGGCCTTGATATTCACAATGCAAGTTGGGGCATGGTTGGTACAAATCTATAGATACAAAAGTCGTGACAAAAAAAAAATATAGTTCTACATTCAAAAAACTTCAGTAAGTAATAGAACTAAAAACTTCAATAAATACGTTTAAAATATACTTCGGGAAATCATTTCAAGGTAACAAGTTACAAAATTTCTTTAATAATGAAGAGAAAGAGCAAAATTATAGATAAAGAGTTTCTTTTTGTTCTTATTTCTCTCTCTTCGTCCTTGGCCAAAAGGAAAAATGAGGAAAAAATAAATAAATCATTGAGGCACATTTGTAAAGACATGACAAGACCTCTAAAAGTGGAAGTAAAATATCCAATTTGGGAGGTTTAGAGCATATCAAAACAAATATTAACACATATACACAATAAGGCATATCAAGAATTTGTTGGTGAATATATATGGGGCCATTGCTATTGAATGAGCTATCACTACAACTTGAGGGTTAAAGTCAAAGGGGCTATTATCAATTATTAACATGTAGCCATGTTGAAGGACGACCAAAGATATGGCCTATGAGTGCTATGCCTTCTGTGTATTTGCAGCAATCTCTTATCTTAATGGATTTAGATCATCAAATATTAAGCACTTTTAATAATAAAAGGTTGAACCCCAACCTTGAGGACCTCTTCCCCCATAGTCTCGCCCCTCCTCTAGAGCATTGTAGAAGAAGTAAATCACGAAATGTGCTTCAACAGGTCAGGGTATAAGAGCTGTCATACTGATGTCCACAAATAGTCAAATTTCATACCCTATAAGAGGCAGGAATCGAACCCTCACGCTGCGTTTACCAGTTCAGCTAAGATTATCCCACTACTGTCCTTTACACCACTGAGCTATGCTCCGATGGGCTAAACACTTTTAATAATAAATTTTGGCTCGGGACATTTTAGTTTTCCATATATTTTATGAAAGTAACAGTAGAATTATCTCGAAAATGATTTATTGGGTGGAAAATGAAAATTTCTTGACCATGATAGGATCTTCGCCTCATTAAATTGCTCGCTGGACGTGTATCCTTACACATCACCAGAATATCTTCTTCATTTCTTAAGAACGTGTTTACTATGCACCATTAGACAACACCCCAAGGAACGATAAAAAAGATCTAACTTCTTTTTCTTCCTCGATCCTATACAATGATGTCCAACACATCACTAAATATGCCGCAAAATAATCACTCTACAAAAAGAAGGGCTTTACATACCCTTTTTCAATGCACATTACATAAAGAGATTATAGATAGCATGTTTCAGTAAAGAGTTCATTCATACATGAATTACAGAACATGATAAGCGAATACATAATCATTCAGGAAAACATCTGAAGGTACATTTTCACATTCCTGTACCTCGTTTATAGAAGAGTTATTTGTTTCTATCAGGTAACACGTCGTCTAGTTGACTCTACTTCACTACAGCAGCAAAAAGCTCCATGAGAAAATCACTTCGAGTTTCAACCAACGGAAAAATTTCCAAAATAAATCTGAGAACCAACTCAAAACCAGGAATCCAATTATGGTGGGGCAGCAGTCGGCAGCTTCATCTTCTTTGGTGCAGGATTACCTCCAGATAACACCACATAAAAATAGAAGCACAACATTGCAGCACTGCCATGTAGTAAAGCAAAAGAAAAACTCGTTAAAAGTTAGATAAAGCTTAAATTGTCGAATTTTCAACAAGAAATGCAATGGCGACATCATAATATACCTGATGACAGCATTAAAGCCTGTTGGGAAGATTTTCCTCGTCTGCAACCATGGTAACATTTTTCAGTTAATTATGGAATATACGAGGTAGAAGTTAGAATGATATAATCTGGACATGTGATGCGTTACCAATGTATAGGTCTGAAAATTCTTCCACAACAGGGAGGCAGAGAGTACTGCACAGTGAGAAGGAAAAATAATGAAAACTATTAATCGAAAAAAGAGAAACTAATTTAATGTTGAAGATTCTACACGTATAATTCCTTTTTTTAAAAAAAAAATCTAATAACAAATAAAAATCAACATTTGATTATTAAAACAGATTAAAGTCTTCCTTTTGTCACCTTTCATCTCTACTAGATGCACATCACGTTGGATCAGTGACTCACAAAATTTTGAGCAGTTATTGTTTTCTTCATCCTTATGCATGAATGACTATCACCCTCGGGACCATTAAAATTTTAGAACAACTCAATTGGCATTAAAAATAAAAAATAAAAAAAATCTTATTTTACTTGCTCCATTTAAGGGTAAATATGTGAGCTTGCTCGAGATTCCAGAAATTACTACAACCTGAATCCCAAGTGGTTTTGAGAATTACATCAACAAAGTTAGAATTTAATGTCTAATTTTGATAATCAGACAGCAGGACTCAAAAATCTACATAGAAACTAGGCATTATGTAACATATTTGGTTGAAAGTTGTTGAGAGGCAACTGTAAATATATGCTGCCATGGCAGAGGATGCTGAAGATATTAATGGTACAAGTGATATTATACGGTTGTGCTAATTAGAAAAATAAATATGCCAAATTTTCCAAACAACTAAACGGGTGATAGTAATCTATATTTGGCCACGGAGCAATCAAAGAAAATGAAAAATTTCTCCTTCCCCATGTTGCTGCAATCCTTCCCTCTTCTATTCTATACTTTTCCCCCGTCATGATGTGCAGCGCTCCAGCCAGAGAAATATCATAATGCACATGGATTTGAAACCATTTGATTATTCAAAGTAGTCATTAGGAGACCTGTAATCAATGAGCAAGCATGTCTCCAGCTAATATAAATGCTACAGTGTGCCAATCACAATAGAACAGGGCTAAAATGAAATCGTAAGTTGAAAACAATCGTCACTCTGCCTCTAATTAAACTTTTATATGAGACAGTTCAACGTGAGCAGATAAAGGCCTTATAAACAAGTCTCACCGTCATCCATTTATAACAATAATACATATTAGACCGTGAATGAAAAAACTGAATAAGCTTGAATGTAAAGGTATGTGTTGAAGATAAAATATGCTGAAGTAATTTGACATAGTATAAGAAAATGCAAATGTCAAGTTTTAAGTTCTCATTGTCACCCATGTATAAATATTACATGGTTGGACCTTTGCTAGAAAAGACTCATACAATTGACGAGGCATGTTCAAATAGAAAAATATGAAAGAACGAAGATCTCCCACTCTTTAATAGTTTAAACTTTTCGATGAGGCAGTTTAAAGTTGTAAATAGATGAAGTTTTTAAGTTCAAATCTCACTGCCACATCATAAAGAAAATTGCACGAGTAAGGCCTTAGAAAATGAAATGACTCATGCCACCTTGTAGGTGGTTCAACATTGTATGTGGTACAAGTACGAAAAAATGAGATTTGACTATGGTAATATTCTATTTCAATTTGTGAAATTGCAATTTTCTGGAAAATTGTGGTTGAATGATCAACCCAAATTTGGTGATAAAGACAGTTCATTGAAGACCTCGCATCAGACAAGTATGATCCTATAATAAGTTAGCCATATCAATCAGCATCCAATGATTCACAGATATCTCAAGTGGTCTATGGAAAGTCAGTGCATGCACCTATTTAGCAATACGCCATCTCATTTAGCCCAAATTTAAGAAATTAAATAAACTGTCAGTAGAAAGGCCAATGCCACTCTACAACTCATCTCGCACTTGAGCTGTACAGTAAGAACTCACAATATGGATGGTACTATAGTAATAACTAACTAAAACCATGCAGATACAGTTTAATTTCCTAGTACAATTTTTTGTCTTGACAAAAGTGAACAAGCGCATAACCTAAGAGTGAGAAAAAAGAACATCGTAATACACTAGAGAGAGGTACACCACTGGAGACTTGCAGTACATTTTAGCAATCACAAATTAACTAAAAGAAACTAACTTTTACTGGATGAAACACAGAAACAAGACATTATATTATAATTTCTGTAACTGTAAGAAGGTAATTACCCGCTTGACCTAGTATGAACGGTAAGCTGGATTTTCCTTGTCTCCATACCCTCATGCTAACAGTGCTGAGGACCAATAGAGAAGCCCCAAAGAGAACGCCAGTACTTAAAGTAGCAAGGTTTCTGCTAAAAATAAAACCAACAAGCCCTCCACTCAAAACAAGCCCACCTACAGTAAATCAACGAAAAGGCATGCTTGAGTAGAAAGATAATTGTTAATCTTTGTAGCACGGACACTTCAACTAGAGTAGCGTGTCCGTGGCGAATGTGTCGGACTCGTGTAGATATCGACACTCCTCAGACACTCTACAATAATCATTTTTCCTTTTGAACCAGAAATATTATATATTTTTAACTCAAATTTATTAGTAAATATTTAAAAGATTTCAACAAGAAAAATTAATAACAAGTATAAAACTAAATTTATATTATATAAATGAAGAATTTTAAAAAATTTAATCAGCGTGTCTGCGACATATTGTGTCAGTACCTTTTTGGAAAATCACATGTCGGCATATCCAACACATATCGTGTCGGACACACGTGTCCGTGTCGATGCATCAAAGTTGTTGACTAAATACCAGCAAATACGTGAGAAAGAAAATTTTACAGTTCAGTGCATCATTTGATGAAAAAATGGTGAACCTACACTAATACTGAACAACCAGATCAATGTGTATCAGTTCAACGATCCTGCTTTGTATGCTTTGAAAAGATGAGACTCATCAGTTAGCCTTCATATTACCAAACGGTTTAACCATCTGAGCAAATATTCTGAGTGCACAAAGCATAGAGTATAACACATTACCCTAAAGAAAAATAAAATGGTACTCAATACAGAGTTTTTATTAGTAAAAGATGACGAAAAATAATCTCAAGCACATTTATAACTATAAGAACACAAATATCGAGTTTCATTTGTCTATTTAATTAATTTTTTTAATTTTATAATTATTTGTTTGAGGAAGGGCGGGAGGTTGAGGTTTCAAAAGCTGACTTGTTTTGGCATGGTAATAGGGTCTACAATTTATCTCAGTGCGTATTTAATGGATATATCAACAGCCTGAACACAATACAGATGAATGGTCAGTCCTATAATTGCTATCAAACAATTATATCCACATCATCAAGTAGACTTAATGCACAACAATCAGTACTTTTGTATCCACAAAAATATAAGTATACTTGATTCAATAATCAATTTAAATAGTAATTTTGGTCTATTCACAAAAAGGGACCAAAGTTGTAGTCATATCAAGATTATTGAAAGGTTTGGAGCATTTTTTTTTAAGGTCATCGATGCTCAAGAGAAATGAAATATAAGCCAAAATAAGAGACTGGGTGTAGGAGAGCCCAAAACATCTCCAGTTGTCCTAAATTCTAAGCTTCATTAACAATTGTATTATGAAAAAATGCCAAATAATAAATTTAATGTGCCCATTGGATGACTACAAAAAGTATTTGGAATATCATTTTAGATGTAAAAAGTGTGAATTTGGAAAAAGGACACCTGAAAAGGCTTCTGGTAATAGGCCAAGGCATGGTTTTAAAAAACTATTGGAGGCTCATGACTCGAAACCTGCCTCAGGTGAGCTATCATAAAACGCCTCAAAACCCACACCTTAAAAGCTATTTGTGAGGCTTACACCTTGACTTAGCGAGGCTTACGCCTCAAACGTGAAACTCAAGCCAACTAAGGTGTTCCCAAGTTTGACCTGCATTTTTCAAACATTTAATTATTGACCTTAGCTCTTTGAGTTATTTCTTGTATTTTTTTTGAGTTATATCTTGTATTTTTTTTTCCTACCTACATGGAAGGAAAATGGAAAGGAAAATACATTAAATTGGAGGATGATGACAAATAATGAAAAGAAACTTGTAATGAGGATAATGACAACAGTGTAAGTGAGTCCCTCAAAGATCATTGATGACATAAGAAATTTTGAGTCCCCCTTTTAGTAATAGTTTATAATTTTGTTAGATGATTACTAATTTTAAACTTATTATTTTCTATTTTCTTGATTTATTTTATGTTTGCCTGCTACATTTAATTTTGTAATTATTTTATTTTATGGTATATTACAAGTACATTTTTATATTCATTTGAATTCTTTACTGTTCTATACTGAGGTTTAAACCTCAAAGCACCTCGAGGCTTACTCCTTGCCTCATGGCGACGAAACACCTTAGTGCTCGATCGAGCATTTTTAAACATTGGGCCAAGGTAAAAGCATATGACACTTCTTCCAACCCTTCTAAATAAAGGAAACTCAAAGTCCGGATACTCACCAAAGGGAATCCCAAGACAAAAATCATGAATCTTTGCTGCCCTTTTCGGTTGACTGACAACTTGTTCTTGTATGTGCGCGTTCATTGCTTCTCCTGCAACATTTTCTTGTATAATGGGATGTGATTTTTCCATACGTCCATTAAGTGATTTTGAGTCATCTGCTGTGTAAAGTGAAGCGGTCTTAGTCTCTGAGTTGGATGCATCTGTGCCATGTCCATCAATACTTCTGACAATAAATACCTGAAGACAAAGACTTCTGAGGTTGACATCACTTTCAAGTGATTATAGCATACATATTCATTTACATACAAGCATGTACACATAACATGTATAAATGCATAAGTCCAAACTTGAAAGTACAGAATGAGCTTGTAGAAGATTTTTTACAATTTTAATGGATATGATCAAAATAAATTCAAAGGTGAACGTCATTTTGCAATGAAGGCAAGCAAATACGAAAAAACAGTGAGGTCCAGTTGGACAGGGGAATTTAAGGACCAAGTGAATTTCTCAAGCTTTGATTCAGAATTGCCACATGTTTCCACCGAAACATCAAATCGTGTCCATTTCAGAAAGATATGCAAAGAGGTGCGGGAAACCTAAAAGATTCTCCATAATAAACATTTATCAACCCTGACTAGAAACAATCACTCTGAACCAAGGAAACTATTAGCATAAACATGTGATTATAATCATAAAAATAGGTTCTCCTAAAATATTCACCAAGGAGTCGCTCCTCTGGAAACAAGGAGTTCAATTATATCCAAATGTACTTTTCCATCGCATTTCTGAAATGTTTCAAAAAAGTTTTCAAAAGTTTCTCACTTAGGAGCTGTTCTCTTTGTGTTTGAGTTTTGTGTGTGTGTCTATTTTGAGATTGTTGAAAATGAATTCTTTTTGACATTTTGAAAAATTGTTTTGAAAACATCCAAAACGTGTTTTGAAAATTTTGACTTGATTATAACTGAAAATACTCAACGACAAATTTGTCATTTTGGGTTTTCTTTGTAAATTTTTAATTTGTTTTCAAAAATGCGTTTTCGAAAATGGGAAAGAGAACGCGTTTTCACTGTTTTGAAAAATCGAAAATAGAAAACTACTTGAAAATGGTAAAGAGAACAGACCCTTAGCTTCTTGAAAACTTTCTTGGGTTCAAAAATCCAAACCACTCCATGGCCTTAAAAGTGTGCTGTATAAGAGTTTTTTTTAGGGTCAATGAAAAATCCTAAAATGGTGTAATTTGTTACACTGTCAGCTTCCTTTATTTATACATCACCATCATTTTAAGTATAGTAAAAACATACTAATAGCAATTTTAATTTTCGATTGGAATTAGTGTTCTACAATCAATGCATTTATAACCAAGGAATTATGTACACATAAAAATCTCTTCTATAATATAAATCACCTGGAAGTTTTTATACCGCGGCTCAGCACTCGGTGCAAGCTTCATGAACCCGTGCATCGGTGCATGGGGAGTACCAAATGTCAAGGCCGACAGTGGTACTCCTCATCCACCTAAACAATAGCAAACAAGTCTTTTATTTTCTTTTTCTTTTGAAGACCGACTTATAGTGAAAGTGAAATGGATCATTTGACAACAAATGAGATTTTAAATCACATATACAAACCCACACGTGTTCAGTAAAAGCATCAGTTAACTCTACAATTCAACTCCAACCAGATGACAAAAATAAAAAGGTTCAATTTTTCTTTTATGCATTTTCTGCAAACCCAAAAATAGAACATCGAACAAAATACTGACTATTGAACCCGAATCAGATTAAGCTCAATTAAGCATACATAGCCACAATTAACTTCAAATGTAACATCAAAATTAAAATATTATAAACAAGATCAACCAAATTGTCCCCTAAATTCTGCTTATTTTCTCAGCAAACCCAACTACAAATAACTAAACTCGCGTTCCCGGAATGAACAAACACAGGAACAAAAAACTGTACCTTGTTAGGACGGGCGTAGAATCTGGTTCGGAGCTGTACACTGCGGTTAATGGAAGAGAAGCATGACAGCTGAGAAATCGCCGACGACATGATTTTCTTCTTCAATTTTTGTCTAAACTTTTTGGAATTGAATTGAAAGTGACAGAGAGGAGAAGGAAGAGGCAAAGTTGTTATTTGTTCAACAACAAAATACAATAATTAACAACGTGGTAAGCACGAGGCAAATTGGACTTGGACTGAATTTTGGGTGAATTACACTTTACACCCTCCAACTATGCATGACTCATATGAATGCCTAGTAAAAAATCATAATCTCAAAATACAGTGTGTTCAATACTCTCCGTCACTATCTAATTTACATATTTAATTAAATAATTAGGACTCGTTATTTATTTGAGACTGAGACAATAATTAAATAATAGTAGAGAATACTAAATTTTACACTCGGGAATACTATAGATTTTCTCAAAAGACATATAAGATACAAAGCTTAATTACCTCTTGTTGACAAAACTTTTTGAGGTTATAAGCTGATGGATCGTATGAAATTTATAGTTAAAAATGGATAAAAGTCATTAATCCAATAAAAATGTGTGATTAAAAATAAAATTTGACCAACTTAAAATTTCAAAAAAGCTTTCTCGAATAAGGGCTTAGTTTCCCAATTTGTGTCGTAATTTGGCTTTGTAAGGGGACCGGTGGAAGCACGTGTAATAGTATCCATTTTGTAGATAATTGGACTTCTGAATGTCTTGATTTTGGTTATTCGGTTGAGTGTCATGTAAAATATTACAAGAATTGCCAAAATTTAGTAACGATGATATTCTTTTGAATGGTTGTACATGTGTGTGTGTTCACACATACTCACATTTCACATCATTTCTAAAACTCAGCTTTCAAGGCGTCCCCCTATAGCGAGATTTTAAAACTCATCTTATTCTTAAGATCATGTCATGCATCCTTATCTATTGCCAAAAGGTTGAGTTAGTTCATTAGTTGAGGTCGAATGAACTAATCTCTATAGCTTCGCGACAAACTATCAATTGCTATTATTCATTTATAATCACTACGATTATCATGCTTTACTTTAGAGTAACATGTCTCCTTATCTATCAGAAAACTACTCACTTATTAGTACTGGATATAAATTTTAAGTTAATGAATGCGTCCTATTTTATGTGCCAAATTCATTATAAACAAGTCTTTGTAGCTCATTCTCGGATGTTCACAAAATTAGAGGTGTGTACCATTCATATTGTCACAAAACATTGCAATGTTGAATCATTCTTTGGCCAAATAAAAGCTCAACTAACACATCTATACCTATAACATTTATTCTTCCAGCTCATTGACCATTCATGCTTTTCTTTTTCTTTTTCTTTTTCTTTTTTTTGGGTGGGTGTTAACAAAGATATCTTTAAACTAGCTTGAAATTCATTAAATAGACAAACAATAGTTCCCTCAGTATTCAAGTGTTGAATATGCAGGAACGAATTTAGGACTGGACTACAAAAAATGAAACGTAGCCAGGTCCAGTCCCCCTACGTCCGTCCCTGGGAATATGGTGATCATTTCAACATTGATAGTCAAGTATGGTTGAAGTGTAGAGTTGTAGTAATTCGACATAATGATAGTAATATGTAGTATTTTAACAATCTCGTCGAGTTGATTTTATTTTTAGATATCGTGTTCGATCAATTTAATTATATTTTTAAAATTCTCATCAGATATCATGTCAAAATTTAGCAAATGTCAAAATAAATATCTTATAAAGTATTCGCAAAGGTAGACTTGCTTCTTTATTTTATGGTCATTATACCCAGGGGCTGACGTAGAGGGTGGCTTGGGGGGTCACGTGACCCCCCAACTTTGCCCCATCTTTTTTTTAACCATTAAATTTTCTATGTTTTTGTTTCAATTTTCGTAGTCATTATGGAAAGTGAAACGAAATTGTAATATTTCATTCTTAATACCATTTTGAAGTGCTCACTGTCTAATTTTCTATGTTATTAATGGCGTACGAAACGATCAATTGTAGTAAATGTTATGACTTGTAAAAGTAGGGCGTTCAAAATTACTATTTTGAAAATTTTGATAACATGCTAACTTTAAAAATTCTTCAACGATCATACGTTAATCGAATCTACAAATTGCTCATGTCATCTCAAAGTTTATTTCGAGAACTATACTATATGCATATCGAATAATCTAAACAGATATTGAAAATAGTTAAAGATGCGTCAAACGTGAATCTTAAAGAAACGCGTCTAACTCGTATTTTCTTTTAAAAAAAATTAATTATTTCATTAACATTTATTATTTTTGTGATACAAATTTTTCAATGTAATTTTCATCGTATTATTAGAAAATTTTATATGGAATATGATATCAAAAAATTTCGAAATTTTACTTTCGAAAAAGTCATATCACATATAAATTTTCGGATACAAAATTACATTGAGTATGATTTTTTTTTTTAACATAAATTTCCGTTTATAAAATTTCTTCCAACTACTTTACAAGTTCAATTGTGCTCTTCTAACTTTAAACTTCTGCGTCCGCCCCTGATTATACCCTCGTCAACATGCAAGATTAAGTAGCATCTTGATAGTCGAGTCAACATTTAGAAAAATCTTCCAAAGAAGTTCTATTTATTTTTATGGTTGTCATACTGTAATCAACTTGCAACATTATTTGACATCTCAAGTTGATATAGATAGCCTATTCAACATTTTGAAGCAAACGACTACCTCCTTAAATTAAAAACTTGGTTAAATTAAATAAATAAAGACAATTTGATCCTCCAACGAAAACTCAAGCATATTTGTTAGTCGATATGACATTTGCTAAACACTAAAAAGTCTTCTAACCAACACAACACGCAATAGGAATAAATCTCTATCGAGCATTAGGATTTAGGCACTTTGAAATTTACATTTATGTAATGACTTTTTATTGCAGCAAGCCAAAACAACTTTAATAGTTTTAGGTCGAAATTTCTACGAGTGTAGCTACATTTCCAATTGTCCCCACGTCTTAAGAGGGAAAAAGAAAACAACATGTGAAATAAGGTAGCCTTTAGTAGCTCAAATACAACTATAGCAAAAAAGAAATGTGTACTTGGAGGTCAAAATCGAAGGGTTATATAAAATGCACCTATTACTTTTCACTTCAAAAATGGTGCTAATTTATTAGAGACTCAATACAATTGAAAATAAATTTATTTGTCGTTATATTTATGAGAGGGTAATATTAATAATATTAAAGTAAAAACTATTTTATCTATTTATAATACGAAGAAAGTTATTTCAACCAAATAACTAAGAAGAATGTTATCCTTCGTCTTGACCTTTGACCTAAAGCATTTTGAGAAGAGAAAAAAAAATTATTATAGACATAGTTGATCTATTATATTGTACAATCATGCTACAATGCCAGAAGTTGACATAATCCTTGCCATGATGTCATACGACATTCTATCATTGGATTGTTTTAAACACAGTCAGTTTTTTTTTATCAAATCATCTATTGCCATTTCGAATTGTCACTGTATTTGTTAAATTTCTTTTGGCAAACTGGCAAAATCTTATAATGTAATACTAAACAAAATCCAAAAAGAAAAAGGAAAGTTAAAAAGAATTCTTGTTGACCTCGAAATCTTGTTGGGACCCAATGCATAAACAAATCCGTCTCAACCCCCTCCAAGTGTATGTTACCTACACAAGATTGGAGACTCTCCAAACACAAAGGGACACGGAAGGTTGCAATTGCATGCGCTCGCTCGCTCAAGTCAATCACAAGACAGAGAGTAAAATATATTGACTGTGTGAGTGAGACTCAGATAATAAAATGTAATTTGGAGTCGGGTTTGTGTTTTGAGAGAGAATGAGAATACTCAAAGTCGATTATCTTTGAACTATACTATGAGTGAGTATTTATAGACAAGAAAATGATTTGGGCATCTCGGATGTTCGACACGTAGTCTCAACCCTCCAATAGCTCTTTAGTCAAGTTTCATCACATCATACTATTACGTCTTAGACATCATGAGGTCTGCGTCCTTGCATGTTGTCCAAGGCAATACCATTGCAGTAATGCCACATCCGAAATTCCATCACATCACAATATTCAAGGCATTACGTATCGAAATTCAAACGTCCCAAACATGGAGGGCAACATTATGTACCAGTTTATCGAGAGTCCAATTATTGCCTCGGAGAAGGAAGTCGACGAACGTACAACAAGTTAATTTGTCTCCAAGGCCTTCGTCGATGAGGCGTTGGGTCGCGTTCTCAAAGCCTCAGAGGTTAGTGATCATCGAGGTGGCTGCATGTTACTTTAATTAAAATAAATCTAGATCTTGCTTGTTTTCGATACGTAACTAATAAAAAAAGATGTCTAGCCTTACTTTTAGCTCAAAAACTCCCCTTTCTTTATCATATATCGCGTATTAAACAATTAGCATAATCAACATGTAGGTAGTTGTTGACGAGGCGATAGAATGACACTTCATCGTCTCGAAAAGTTTTGACGTGACATTTTACTTAGCTAACAGTCAGTTCACTTGCGCAGATGGAGACATATCAATTCTCTATTGGATATGGTACTAGGAAGCTCCACGCTGCACAAGCCATTGAAGAATTGTGGTAAAGAATTTGGAGAATAATTACATGCTAAGCAATTGAGGATTTTTTTTATTTTTTATTTTTGAAAAGCATGCCTTGGACCCATATGTTTGGAAATTTTTCACAATTGTTTGCTAAAAGTTAAATCACTTTATATCTATATATTGTATGAGGCTCATAAATATTATTCACTTATTCATTATTTATTTTCATATGTTCACAAGTGTTCTATTGTTAATATATTTTCATAAATTCACTTATTCATTATTTATTTTCATGTCATGATTTGGTAAACATAAAGTTAGAACAATAACGAAAGAATCGTCAATGTTAGACTAAATCAATTAGAGGTAAAGTTAACCAAATAAGTGAAAGCACATGAAGTGTGTGTTAGTTGTGGAGAATATGACTGTCTAACAAATCGCACTATATATTTCAAAATTTCCTCTCGACAAGTATTTTATATATATATAATGATGAACTTTAAGTAAAACTTATAACAATCAAATTTATTTTTATTTTTTATGATAGAATGAGCATTTGCTTTTTAAATTGTCTTCTACCCAGTACTGTACTCTCGTTTTTTTTTATTCTCATGCGTTTACCTTATTCACAATAGAACTGAGGGTTTATACAAGGGAACACTTGTCAATTTTTCATCGACGGTTAGCAAAAAGAAAAAAAATGCTACAGCACAGCAACACCTGTATACTATCTGACCAAAAATTCCATGTACAAGGAGAATAATTGTATTCACGAATCGACTCTATAAGAAGACAATCTTACTACTGCCAGTATAACAAACATGCCATTAAAATAATAATTTTAGAATCGCGTGTGAAAGTGTGTGCGACAAGAGCTTGGACTCTAAACCACATACTTGTTTAGTCCTTGTCAAAGAATGAAGCGGACCAATATCTAATTTATTCACAAAATTGGGGGCTATAAATGTAAACAAAAGCAAGACAGTAACAGCTGATTAGTTGTACTTTTTTGCCAGTCTAGTTTTCCGTGTTTGTTTCTCACAAGACACCGTTTCGAAACGTATTCCTAGTTTCCCTTTATGACCACGTTTTGAGACCCTCCTCCTCTATTTAATTCCTTCTCAATCACGCCATTTTAAGGTCTCAATTCTCAAACAAGAATTATTCGATTCCTAATCCAGAGAAATATCTTTGAATTCAAGTTTTTTCTTTGTATTTTAATTAGAAAATAACTTGGCCAAAACCCATTGTTTTCTGTGGATTAAACACGTCTTTTTGGCTGCTCCCGGAATCTTGAAGAAAAATCTCAAGTACCCTTTTTTTTTGTGTGTGATTTTAGTACTGAATTTTGTTTGGCGGCTTAATTTTATAATTTTTTAATTAACGTGTAATTTTTTGTTCCCGTGTTTTGTTTTAGATTTCTGGGATTTTGACAATGGAGAATTCGAGAAGGCAAAGATGGGATAATCATAGACAGGAACCTCCCAGAAGGAAATCGCCACAGTATAAGAAGCCACCCCGTGGTTCGTTTAACAATTTGGTTTTGAATTTTGACTATTTTTATTTTGTTTCTCTGTTTGCATGTTATGATTTTCAAAATCAGGCACAACCTGTGAGTTTCTTGAAGGGTTTCTTATATTGTTTGAAAGTATATTCGTTTCTTTATCTTCTTGAAGGTTCTGAAAGCTGAAATTTGCAGATATAATTCATGCTTTGTAAAAATCTAGTCTTTTTTCTGGAATTTTATCCCGAGTAACTTCTTTGCTTTCTGCAGTTTTATTTTTTTCGTGTCGTATCTTGGTTATGAAATTATGTGATTTGAATAGCAAGTTTTTATAGAATTGTCTCTTTGATTTCTTGCTTTTTATGATTGCCTTTTTTTCATGCCTTATTTTGGAGATGAAGTCATCTATTTTGTTTATTGCTCCTTTTATGCACTATTTACTACGGTTTTTTAAGCTGGTCCTGGTTAGCTTGTTAGAGGAAGATGTTTGCAGCCCTGTGGGGTATATAACTTTGTCAAATCTTATGGAAATGCTAGTCTTACTGCCATATGTGAACTATGATAGGCTTCTACTCTTTTTATTCCCTTAAGCAATTTAGAATTTATGGATTGCTCTTGAATTTTTTTTTTCGTTTGCTGCCAATTGGCCTGTTAGATTTTAAAAGTTTCTAATAGTTCATTCATGAGTCATGGATTCGGAGAATATATTTTCTGATTAAATTTGGCATGTCATAGACACCTTCAATGGCTACTATAAGTTCTTGGATGTAAATTGTCTATTTTGTATCGAGAAACTTTTGAGGTAGCTTGAAATTTCCCTTGATTTTGTAAAACAAGGCAGATCAAAATGGTGAAGATCAAAATATTATGCTCAAATGTTCGTAAATCGTAAAGCTCGAATAGATACCCTGCATTTGTACGGAATGATGAGCTATTTTGTCTTTGGTATAATTTCAGTTTATTCCTTTAATGCATGTGTTACTATAAGTTCTTGAACATAATTTGTCTATTTTAGGCAATAGCTTGAAATTTCCGAAGATTCTGTGAATCTTGTATTTATTTCAATAGATTCAAATTAGTGTTTTTTTTTATAAGAAAAAATTGGGTTAGAGATCCACCGAAGTGGGTAGCCTTAACCGGATGTGTATGGTAACAAGTAAAGCTCGAAAGCCTTTCCCGTCCCTGTCGGGGGAGATGCCAACCATCTCTCCTTTCTATGAACACTACATTCAAATTAGTAAAACGTGGCAGGTAAAGGGTGAAGATAAATCATAGTCTAATGTTTGTAAAACTCGAATAGATGCCTCTACATTTGCATTTAATGACGAGCTCTATTTGTCTTTGGTGTTATTTTCCTTGAATGCATTTGCTAGCTCTATGTTGCTATTCCATTGTTGTCTATTCATGCTTCGAATATATCTATGTCAATTTCTTAGTTAGTAGGAAAAATTAAATAAAAGAAACTTCCATTTTCATGCATTTATGTGTGAAGTTGGTCTTTCTTTCTCTTTTCATATCTCAAATTTATATGCTTTACATGACTTTCCTTATAGCAAGCGACTTGAGTTACACTACCTGCAGGTAGTTGGCAGCCAAGAGTGCCTTCATGGGAGAAAGAATTCTGCAAAGTGATTGGTTCACTAGATTGGGAAACCTTTTTGCACATGAAGAAATTCATTCATCTATACAATAATGTGCTTGAATGGAATGACTCCGCAGGGGAAGAGGCATTTAGTAATGCCAAGAAACGATTCTGGGCAAAAAGTCAGGGCCTCCCCTGTGATGCATCATTACCTGATCCAGATCTTTACATTGATGAAATAAATTGGAGTTCAGAAATTGATCCCGAGGTGCAATTGGAGCTTGAATGCAATCCCGAAATTCCCAAGGCAGGTGAAAACAACGACACAGTCGTAATTTTTGGCGATTCTTTCCTTGCAAACCAAGCATTCTTATCAACTGGCTGGGGTGACAATGAAGAGAATTTTAAAATACCTACTAATGAATCTCCTGCCAATCATGGTATTTTAGGGCTGCATGACTGGGATGGGACTGCAAATGTATGCGCTGATTATCTCAATAATACATGGCACGTTAGTGATGTGGGTGGAGCTATTGGACATATGCCGTGGGAAGGTAATTGGAATGATAACTGGGGTTGGAATCATTCGAATGGTCATGAAAATCAAGAAGTGAAACCCATTAAACCCAAGAATTTCGAAGACAAGAAAGCAGACAACGTTCAGGGATCATGGGACGGCAACAATATGGGGAGAGTTGATGATGCTGGTCGATACTTATCGAGATACAGAACTCCAAGATTCCAAAGCAATGAGCACCGTAAAAATCACCTTTGGTGGAACGACAGAGGTCGAAGAAGATAACCAGTTCAGCTTCACATAAAAAAAAAAGTGAAGATAGTGGAATTCGGTGAATATATAACAGCTGGGCAGACATGGAGTCGATTGAACCGCCCCTTTTTCTTGAATGTAAAGTAGTTTTGATTTATTTCATTTTATTTATTATGCATCTTTAAGTAGTGTTTACAGCGAAGTCTGCTGTATATATTGAGAGTTCCTTTGGAGCATGTTCTGTCATGTAGTTTCCTACATAATTTAGAAGATAATTTTCTCGTATTGAGGGAGATTGTATAACGAGTCAGTACTGTTTTGTCTGTGTATATATAATATTTCCATCTCAGGCAGTAATAGAATATTTTCGTGTTCGATGTAATAGAATATATTGATGTCAGCAATGGAATGTTCGAAACATGTCGTTTTCTCAAACTCAAGATTATCAACACGACTCTTCCGTCTGGATCAGTCAAAGGGGTCGAGGAAAAAATAATTCTTGGGGCCGATTTATTTGAATGAAGGTTGTTTGGCAGACATTGGGTGTGTCAGACATTGATTTTATCCAAATTAGTATCACATTTTTAACCCTTTTTTCCAATTGCTGGCCTCCACACCTCTCACGTGTGGTCAAATGTTGCGGCTGTAGGTGTGTGCAACGATTGAGATTTCAATTAAAATCTGTCGATTAATTGCCTCCGAACACAGGCTTAACTTTTACTCTTTTAGAATGCAATGGAGGACTTGGTGACAAGTTTATTAGGGAATTTCTAAATATAGAGCCTGTTTGGTAAGGATTTTTGGGGGAAGAATTGATTTTGAATAGTGATACGATGGGAAATGTGTGGTTAAAAAAGAAGAAAAAAGTATTGATATGATGGAAAATATTATTTTATTGAAAAATGTGTGGTTGAAAATTATATGATGGAAAATGTGTAGTTGAAAAAGAATAAAAAATTATTGATGTGATGAAAAATATTATTTTATTGAAGAATGTGTGGTTGAAAATGAGAATTGATTTACTGTAGAAAATCAAAATCCATACCAAACAGGCCCATAATCTAGTGAGAGAGGCATCTCTCAATTAGTTAACCAAGATAGTGAGATTATAAGTAAGATTATAAATAAGGACAAAGTGATATACAAAATTCTAAGCGATATGAAATTGCATGGGTTGGGATAGTTGTACGGCTAATATAGAAGCTCATCTACCATCAGCGTTAAGCCAATCGAGCACAAAAGCAGTAATGCTAATTGCTACAATTGCGACTTGTGAATTCTTCTATGCGCAACATGAGGTCAAAGGCATGAATAATAATTTTCTATTCAAGATTTGACCACGACAATATAAGGGATCAAGTGAACTAGATAGAAACTATACACGATCACCCTTGCAAAACGATTTAAAATGAATATGCTGAATACATCACAACAAACATAATAAGTAGAGTTTGGACATGATCACGAAAGATTTATTTTTATATATTCATTATTGAATTTTAATGCAATATACACTTATATGGCCTGATTTCTAAATCATCAAGTTTCTCAATCAATTCATTAAATCTAGGCGATATCATTTCATTACTTTACAATTTCATTTTTTAAAAAGAAAAAAATCAATTATTCTCATTAAATTTGAGCTCCATTTTTTTTACAACAATATATTTTGGAATAGTGATTTTTTAAAGAATGTATAGTTAAGAAAGAGGAAAAAATTTGGATTTACGTATAAAATTATTTCATGGAAGAACGTGTAATTGAAAATAATTTTTTTTTTTAAAAAATAGTTTTTGGAAGAATGGAGCTCGAATATAAGCTTATAATAATAATAATTTTTTATTTTTTGCCAACTAAAGGCACATAGCCCTGTTTTATACAAATTGGGAATTATATAATTCAATTGCTCTTTCCCAAAAACCGAAGTACGTATCTCAATCTCTACTCTTTGCATGTGTAGATATATACGTACATTCATATGAATTTAGGTATATATGTGAAGTATTGACTGAGTGTTGGAATTTTTTAGCAATTTGGGGCCACATGTAACATATTGAAATGTGTGTGCTATTATCTAAAGTAAATTAGTCATTAAAGTGATCCACTAAGAATAAAGTTTGACTAATGGATATTGAATTTCGTGGAATTAAAGTGTAGAGACCGGAAATTTGTTTTAAATTATTGAGGGGCCGATTTAAAACAAATGAAAGATGATGAATGGTCATTATCTTATGTATATATGGGTTATGGTCCCCATTTGAGTGTGTTCTTCAAGGTTTCTACATCCCCATCCATAGAAATCAAGATTGAAGTGAAGTTCACAAATCAAATTGGAAGATCGTGATCCTTTCAGGCTAACAATCTAATTATCATGGATTCAGGTATGTTTTATGTTTATGTTCATTTTCAAATTTCAATATGGAAATGGATCTAGGGTTTTATGTGAAAAGGATTTGAATAAAGTATGTAATTTGACTATTCCATTTCAATTTTCTATCACTGAGTACATAGTTTGAATAATTATCGGGTTCATTTTGTGATGTAATTAGTTAGTATAGAACGTGTTTTGATTTATGAAAATATTAGAAATTTTGGCATTTCACAGATTTAGTTTTGATTTATGAAAAATTAGTAATTTAGGTTTTACCAATTATATGGATGACGGGCAGCGATATTTCTTGGAAACAGATTTGAAAAGTTGTTTTCTTTCTATTGGAATCCTAAAATTTACGTTCTTTGCTTGCTGAACTTTAAGTTAATTCATTCAATACGTTGAGTCTATTTTGTTTTTCTTATTGTTATTGGTTAAATACAGATTTTCGTAGTGTTCCTATTTACTCTAATATTTTATTTTATTTTTTGTTGAATTCAGTACTGTAATATGTTATTCATTGATTTTATTAAATCTGTGATCAAGTTAACTATATAATTACTTATCTGAAAATTGAAAAATTATTATCACATACACATGCAGGAGAATGAAAAACTGATTGTCATTTAGCTTGGAAGTTTTTTTTTATTTTATATGATTGTCATTTTTTGTTGGTATCTTTGAGTTTCTGTTGTGTGAATATATGAATTCCTATACATTCACCAAGAAATCGTATTTACTCTTTTGGGCTCTTGTTATTCAGGAATTATGGACGTGGACGAGGAAAATACAGTCTCTGCTTCAATTGCTGATTCTTCCACTGTAGGGGCTGATGATCAAACTGTGGTTCCAGCTATTGATACAATGTTCATTCAACTAGTTCAACCCATAATTGTACTGCTTATAACAACCCCAGCTGTGCCTCCTATCGGTCCATTGCCTGCTGTTCCTCTTCCAGTACCTCAGCCACTGGCAACACTCCCTGTTCGCCCTCCTGTTGTCAGGCCAACTTTGGCACAGAATGAGACCCGAGAACTAGTGATTCTGATTCAGACCAATATGAGACAGGATCAGGTCCTGCCAGTGCAAGTGAATCTCACGAATACGAGATCGCAGAAGAGATCAGACTGGTTAGAGAAAGGCAGGAGAAAGCAATGCAGGAACTTATGATGAAGCGACGTGCAGCTGCTTTGGCAGTTCCCACCAATGACGTAGCTGTTTGAGCTCGTCTCCGAAAGCTTGGCGAACCTGTAACTCTTTTTGGAGGAAGGGAGATGGAGAGGCGGGATCATTTGCGGATGCTCATTGCAAAGCTTGACACAGAGCGCCAGTTGGAAAGGCTGATGAAAGCTCATGAGGATGAAGAAGCAGCAGCTGCTTCTGTACCAAACGAGATGGAAGAAGATATCCCGTATCCCTTTTACACGGACAGGTCCCGAGCACTTTTAGAGGCCCACTAAGAGATTGCAAAATATTCCATTGAAAAGTCAGCTTTACGGATCCATCGAGCAAGAAGGAAACAGGATGATCCCAATGAGGATTTGGATGCAGAGATAGATTGGTCTCTGAAGCAAGCAGCAAGTTGGTCCTAGACTGCAATGAGATTGGTGATGATCGGTCTCTCTCTGGATGCTCACTTTCGCACGATGCTTGCAACTTGGTAATCTCTCTCTCTCTTTCCCTCCCGCATTCCCCACCACCATGTGTGTGTTTTTGTATGCGCATGATTTAGTCAGTTGTACTAGTCCATAGGTCTCAAAAATTTGCATTGAAATGCACGTCATATGGTTAGCCGTCATGCAGTTAAAGTGCTTTGTATGTGCTGATATTATGGGCATCTTAAGGTTTTGCACTGGTTATATATATATATATATAACAGATTACAAAATAATAGTATAATTTCATGGAGTGTGCTCTCTCTTTTCCATCATTGTTGTGTTTGAGTTGTGAAGACATCCTCGTTATACACGTGCATTGTTTGCTATATCGACCACAAGCCTTTAGCCACTGCTGATTTTTATGAGTTCATTTGAGATATGATAATCATGTACGAAGAGTTACTCCACGGTTGCTTATTTTTTACTCTTCTGTTTCTAGTGCTCTTAGTGGAGTTGCAAAGTTATGGAGCGTGCCTGAAGTAAAGAAGGTTTCCACATTAAATGGTCATACTAAGCAAGCTGTAGATGTTGTATTCTCTTCCACAGGCTACCATTTGGCTACTGCATCTGCTGACCGACCTGCAAGATTATGGAACACGGAAGGGTCTGCTCAGATAACATTTGAGGGACATTTCGATCGTCTTGCTCGCACTGCCTTCCACCTGTCAGGAAAATACTTGGGCACATCTAGCTTTGACAAGACTTGGAGATTATGGGATGTAGAGGTTGGTGAAGAGTTGCTTCTCCAAGAAGGTCACAGCAGGAGTGTATATGGATTATCTTTTCACCGTGATGGCTCTTTAGCAGCATCATGTGGACTGGACTCTCTTGCTCGTGTGTTGGACCTGAGGTCTGGGAGAAGTATTCTTGCCCTGGAAGGCCATGTCAAACCAGTAAGATTCTGTGTTGTGAAACTATTTTGTCTCTGCTTTCCATCTTCATTTTTTTTTGGCTATAAAAGAGGGATTGAGGATGAAATTGATTATTAGGTTTTTGGAATACAAATGATGAATCTCCTATTATTATTTTTCTTTCAGGTACTTGGAGTCATTTTTTCTCCCAAATGGTTATCCTTTGGCTACTGTTGGTGAAGACAATACTTGGCGCATTTGGGATTTGAGGAAGAGAAATTGTACATAATAATACCTGCTCACTCTAACCTTATATCTGAGGTCAAATTTGAACCTCAAGAGGGTTACTTTCTGGTTACTTCTTCATATGATATGACAGCTAAGGTACGCATCTTCTTAATCTATGCTTCTCCACTCGAGTCTGTGTTTAATATTTGCTGAACACACGTTTCTACCCATTTCCCTTATTCTTGACTTTCTATCTCAGGTGTGGTCATCTAGAGATTTTAAGCCTGTAAAGTCACTATCTGGTCGTGAAGCAAAGGTTATTTTGCTTGATGTTGATGGAGGTGAGCTTCTCTAACTTTAAAATCTAATTTAGAATTTATGTTCTAAAATTGTTATTAGATCTGTTTTGCTTCCATGAGCATTTGTTAGTTCTGTAGCAGATTGGTAGGATTGAATATGTACATTCATTTTTCTTTTCTTTTCTTTTTTTTTTTTTTTTACATGGAGGGTGAGGGAACTCAGTTCTATGACTGGTGTTCGTTGAGGTTCCTGGCGCTCTATCTTATAATCTTGCTTTGTCCACATCAGATATAAATGCTTACCATCCGTATTTAACTGGCATGGGAGCATTTGTCTCTGCCACATAGGCTGGTATCATTTTGGCTTGACCTACAAAGCTACTGAGACTTTTGAACCTTGTCAAATCTTTCTAGTAGTGATGGTTTAATCGCTATGTGTTATGACATTTGAAGGGATTAGTGAAGTTGGATGAGTTTAAAACTAAGAAATATGCCAGATAGTGTTATTAAATGTATCTTTCAGGATCTTGGGACAAGATAAGGACCATGATTAGTTGAGGACTTCAAAAAGTTTGCCCTAATAGATTAACGGAGTTATTGCATTCCACTTGATATTGATGACATAAAGTTGGACATCGTTGCATTTTCTTGACTCTTGCTTTTTCCCTTAATCATGGTTCTGCTAGTGCTGAGTAAGCATAGTTCACTGTCTTGTCAATTTTGAAGTTCAAAGTTTGAAATGGTTTTATGTAATTTGATGTTGTACATCATTTGTTGCAGATGGACAATGTATTGCAACTGTTTCACACGATCGTACAATCAAGCTGTGGTCAAGCAAAGACAACGTGAGAGAAAAGACAATGGATATTGATTACACAAGACTACCGTGCAATTGCGAAAGATGAACAAATATATCTCGGTAACAAGGTGATTGAACTGCTGCTTTTAACAAACCACATTTTGGATTAATTTTTTTAAAATCTCAAAACATTTGAAGGCTTGAGATTGAACTTTTGATTTGATATTAGCATTTTAGCTTTTGAAGAGTATTGGTTGAATGGTTATGAAGATTCGTTTTACGCAGCCTCGTGTATCGTAGAGAGTGCCAAATCTACAAGGACCAACCCCCAATCTGCCCACCTCACACGTGCAAGTGGTTGTACTTTGCTTTGAGGAATATTAGTTCCCAGCTCAATATCAGCGGGTAAGATACCTATAGACGTACATTCTTATTTCTGCACCCTCGATGTTGGCAGCATGTCAATGCGGTTGCAGGAGAAAAAGAGGGAAGCAATCCTTCTAGCATAGTGATTATGGTATAGCACCAAAGAATGTCCAAATGGTATGTCGATCTTGGAACGAGCATGAAGAAATTAACGATACTTTTTTTATCTATTGAGTTGTTCTGCCGGATCGTTCCCTCAAGATCTTTGGTCTCTACCCGAACCCAATAAAAAAAATGGGATCATTTCTTATGGACTCGTTGAGAATGGAAGGACTTGTATGGATGTGATGAGTTCTTTAAACGTAGGTTGCAACTAAGTGGGTGTGAGAATCTATACTGCATTTTCTTTATTGTACTACGAAATGTAAATTCTTGTGGATTTGTAATTTTTTCAACTGTAGAACTAAGATCGATGACTCTTTTCTCATGCAGGTTCCATTTTTTGGTTTTAAGAGTGCTAATTTTGAGAACAAGAAACTCTGCTTCTCCATCTTCTTACTGGCCAATATGAGAAGGGAAGATGAATGCACGTCACTCGTTGATTTTTTTTATTTTTTCATTTTGAGAATTTATAGAATTCAATCTGTATATATACAGTATAATTATACTTTTGCATACGGTGTTTTTTAAATTTTCATTTTACATACTATATTTCGTATAATGGTTATAAAGAACACCCTTTGCTGAAAAATGTACAAATGTGATATTATAAATAGTTTAACAGATTGATATCCGCAAATTGAAATAACAATTCACACCCTATATATTAAATTATATATTATGTTAAAGATTTTTCTTTAAAAAAATTGTATAAGAAAAGATTAAATGTAAAAAATCATTTTGGAGTTCGATTTATAAATTTATATATCATTTAAAACTCCCCCCATCTATAAAACTTTTATCCCTTGATATTTTAAACAAAGGAAAGATGATTATTATTATTATTTTATTTTATTTTATTTTTTTTGTGAGAATTAGTAAAAAGGTCACTTGTAAATAAAACTATCAATATGTCCTTAATGTTTAATTTTCCAACAAAAACATATCATTCCTTGTATGTGCTCGAATTTTTTGCAATGGTTATTTCGTAGCACAGTTGAATGATCCGCTAAACAATTTTATGCAGCATTATAATTTCACCAAGTGTTCTAAAATGCATGTATATGTGGGTTCTAAAATGCAACATATGCTTTGCATATGTCCGCATATGTTCAGTGAGTTTTCGAAACACCTCGAATAAAGGGAATGCACATGACAATGCGGTCAACTCATTCCGTTGAACACATATACATGCTTAAACAACAAAATGCGCACGCATTTGTGTTAAAAATTGGAATCATGCTATCTAATGCCAATTTTTGAAAATTGAAGTTCAAACTATCTCCACTGAGCCAATCTCCTTCTTCGGTATTCCTCTAATTTTACTAGCAAATGATGCTAGTAATGCACAATCATAGATTATTGATAGTTGTGTGATGATAAGGAGTTAACAGTGATATCTTACAATCTACAAAAGGAAATAGAAATTCTCGAGTTGAAATAAGGGATTTCGATGAAGGTGATTTTCTCTTGCCCATGTTGGGCAGGAGAACCATCTTCCCATCACTGACGTGGCGATGCCCTGTCAACTGATCATTTATTTATTTTTACTGTAAGTATTTGTTTTTCCTCCATACACCCGGACCTTTGCTCTTTTTACCCACTCACTCTACACCAGCCCCTTTATCACATATAAATGATTTTCTTAATTTTTACATCAATTTTCGATATCATTACGGGATGTTAAACGAAGTCAAAATATTATATTTTTAATAATATTTCAAAGTGTTCATGGTCTAGTTTCTCGCATCTTTAATAGCGCACAAAAAGGTCAATCATAACAAAAGTTACGATGCGTCAAAGTAGAACGTTTCAAATTAGTATTTAGAAAATTTTGATAACATACTAACTTTAAAAATTCATTGATAATTGTACGCTAGCCAAATCAACAAATCGCCTACGTTACCTTGAAGCTCATTTCGAGAATTATATCATAGACATCAAATAGTCCAAACAAACATAAAAAATAATTAAACGAGCGTATCAAAAAGAGTCACCTAACTCGTCTCTTTTTTTTTTTCAATTATTTCATTAACGTTTATTATTTTTGCGCGACAATTTTTTTATTATAATTGATATTATCTTATTAGAATATTTTTACATGGGTATGACGTTAAAAAATTTTAGATCATTACACAAAATATAATAAGTTAACATTAAATAAGTTTCAAATTCGAATTATTTTTTCTTATTAGAACAAATTAATAGAAATGTGGATTAAAAAGAAAAAAAAAACCTTGAACTATTAAACGTTAATTAAATAATTGAAAAAATTTAAAGAATAGACAAGTTAGGCGTCTCTCTTTGAGACGTTCGTTTAATTATTTTCGATGTCCAAACGATTTCCGTTTGGACTCTTCGATAAGTTTACGATAATACTTTTCAAAACGAGCTTCAAGATGATGTAGACAATTTATGAATTCAACTCGTATACAATCATCAACGAATTTTTAAAATTAGCATATTGTCGAAATTCTCGAAATATTAGTTTAAAACGATCTACTTTAACGCATCGTAACTTTTGCTAAGGTTGATTGTTTTACGCTGTGAAGGATGTGGAAAATTAGACCTTGAACACTTTGAAATAATACTAAAAATATAATGTTTCAACTTCATTTGACATTCCGTAATGACATCAAAAATTGACATAAAAATTAGAAAAATCATTTATATGTGATTAAGGGGGCAAGTGTAGAGGGTGGGTGGGTAAAAAGAACAAAAGTGGTTGGGCAAGGTGCACGGAGAAAAAGCAAATATATACAATAAAAAAAACAATAAATGCACCATCACCACATCAACAGTGAGAAAATTGTTCTCCTGCCCACCACGAACAGGAGAACAGTCTGTTGACTGTTGGTATAATTGTACAGTTCAACGTACCAACAAGCCTTGTAAAATATTTTGTTTTCGGATGCTTTTAAAATTTACCTTAAAAGTTGTGCACCCTCCAAATAACATGTACAATTTATCAACAAAAACAATGGTGTAATCGACATTTCAGATGTAAAAGTGGCCAAAACGACTATATATATATATTAAGCGAGCAATTCATTCGTATCATTTCATAACATCCCCGTCTATAAATATTTTAAACTACCAAAACGAAATTTTTTCCAATATTCACATTCCTGAAATGCATTTACATATTTCCAAAGAAATTAAAGGGATTCTGCAAATTGAGGGGCCTCCAAATCAAGTTCTTGCCTCATAATACAGTTCATAAGCCACTCACTGCTAAATGTCCGAATCCCTTTCTTTATAGCCAATAGAGCTTCCTCCATGTCCTCTTCACTTGCTATAAAGATAGTTTTAGTTGCTTCATTCACCTTGTCCACTCTTCTAATAACCTGTTTTTTCTCCATCACAAAAATAAATCAGATCGAGTCGAGTCTCTCTAGATGATGCAAAAAGAAGCTGTTAAGGACATAATGTACAACACTCAACAAGACTGGACAATTCTTTTTAAATATTCTCTAGTTGTATTCCATCTATCTACGTTATAGAAAAACCTTTGAGATGACTTACATTTCCTCCAGCAGACTTAACAATGGCCGACAGAGTGGCGACTGGGGGTTGCACTTGAGTTGCAAGACATACATCAAGACCTTTAAGCAATGCCCGGGGACGTGCTTTAGCTCTAAGAACTGCACATTTGAGCTCTGTTCTGTACCTAGTCTCGTATTCTTCATCTTTTAAAGTGAAGGGCATTTCATCTGTAGAGAAAGAAGTGAAATTCCATTACACATTAACATCATTCGACTTTTAAGTATATACGAAAAGCAGCACATGCTACTCACCAACAAATCTGCATTTCCGGAAACTTTCTTTTAACCAACTTGGTGAGATAATCCAAGCTCTGTATAACATATTCCCACACATTTGAAATTTATCATGAAAATTAGAAAATAAAATTGATTACTTTTCACTTAGAAAGGAACAGTGAAAAAGAGAGAGAAACTGACCCTGAACAGAGAGCGGTGCAGAAATTTAAAGTTTTTCTCACTTTTCCAGTGATAACATGAGTGCTCACACTTCCATCAGAAGTAACAAATCCACCAAGGTCTCCGATTATCTACACCAGTAACATAAATTTTCTATTAACGAAAATAAAAAAGAGAGATAACTATTGTAAGAATATTTTGATGTAAAATAGTTTCAGGTTAAAATGATTGCCGGAGAAGCTTCGAACCAGATGTATTTTTTTACTTTTTGTTATGAAAAACAGCAGAACAAAAGGTGTGCATCAAAAGGTATTTACAGTGTTTCCCTTACCTTCCAAATCATGATATGTTACAAACTGTACAAAACATCAGAAAACATGGTATTTTCAAGTTCGCGGACAGGATCAAGAAATCGAAATATCTGATCCATCCCAGCTATCAATCAATTATTTGCTATGATCTTGACATAAATAAAGAACCATGCTGATGGTAATGGATTTGGCGAAATGTGGATATCTGCAGAAGATCAGTTTGAGATTGGCAAGTACAAAATTAGACAATACCTTTGTCAGATTTGACTTCTTGTTATCGTCAGCAATATTCATCAGCATAATTCTAAATGAATGTACACTAAATGGGACCTCGAGTGCACCACAATCTTCAATAGTGACATTACAAGCTTTGCCATCTTTATTCTCTTCAAAACAGCTATTAGTCGAAATATTGTTCAGAAAAACGTCGGTGGAGAATTTGCCTCTGGAAATTGCTGAGTAACTATTATTATTAAAACAACAATCATTTCTTCCATCCCTGCCTGAAATAGAATCATCAGAACCCAACTGACAATCAATTACATGAGCACCCTTGACTTTTTTTGACTTCAGTGAGGTATATGAGGCTTCCCATAATCTTTTCTTGGTTCCCAGCTCCGAGCAAGAGCATTGCTCCAAACCAACTTCACTTCCACTTTTAATTAGTCCAGAACCATTACAAGTACTGTGGTGGCCCACTGTTGGCACAAGATCTGCATGTTTGCAACCTATAACGGATCACAAAATATAAAAACAGAACCAATTCAGAAAGAGCAAATGTTTTAACAACTGCATCGTACAATTAGCATTTGCATCTACAATGAAATAAAGAGCCTTAGCACTTGACTTTCAAATAACTACTGATGTTTCAGGCTAGAAATAAATTAATTTACATAATCATCCCTTACATTGGTATACGTTATTTGGCAGAATCTATCCCAATAGATCATAGAACTTACCATCTCCAGGATGACAGACAGTCAAGCCTCTATCTTTTAGCCAGCCAGTTTACTTAGATGTAGTTTCTTTCCTTTGGGTTTTAGTGGTAGCAAAGTAATTTAACTAAGAGAACAAAGTAAAAGATCTCACTCCCTCATTTATGCTCAAACAACTGTTTGTGCATTTCGATGTGATGAAATAGCAAGATAATACAAGTGCAAATATATTCTTGTACACATATTTCACATACCGTCCATCGAAAACCTCTCAGTGACCAATTTCCCAATCTGAGAACATTCTCTCCTATTTACTTCATTGGGATAGTTATGGCTATCTTCAATACTTCTTGGCTTTTGGTTTTCAACAATTTTGGATGGGCAAAATTCCCCAGGAGGCTTTATCGGGATTGACAGCCTTAGATACTCTGAAGAGTTAGGTGAACTATCCTTGCTAAGATGAGTAACCATGAGAGTTGAACCGCCAGGAAAGCACAATGCTCTTCGAATATCTGCTTTAATAGGGAGTCTGCGAGCTTTACCTTTTGTGTCTACCTCACCAATTGCTACAAAACCCTGCAATTTTTTTTTCAACTTCACAAAAATGTAATACCGATAATAAAATGCAATAGTGTAATTGCAAACAATAACTACAAGGTAACCCTATTCCCAATAAAATTTGGGATAGCCATATGAATCCTTTATCTCCACTCCATTTGGTGAATAAAATGCAATGGTGCTGGGACAATAACATGGGAAGCATGACTACTAATTCATCAATCAAAAAACTAACCCTAGTGCTAATGTGTACCAGCCACTTGATAAATTGTATATAGATGTCAACTAAACTTCTTGTTGATATCCCCACCCAACCCCCTTCCCCAACGCCAACGTGCCTGTGCAGTGTACTTATCTATCTATTACATGGAAGATGCCAGATTATACAACAAATTATAAGGAAACAAATGATAAAACTAGTAAAAAATCACACCCGATCTTAATTCTATGATAAAATGAGAAAAAATTGCTCCAGAAAGTTATTACTGATAGGGACTTTTGTGCACGTTAGGGAAACTAAATCTAGGTATTGAGTCAACAACAGTTCTGGAACCAATTTCAAGCAAGCACCAGTGAATACATACCTGTTTTAGCCAAAATCCTTTGGACTCTTCATCTCCCCAACAGAATACAGAGTGAATGCCTACACTCTGCAGTCTCTTTCTCAATTCTGTGTATAACAAATGACCAATCCCCTGCAAGTTCCTCAAATTGTGTCAATGCTAAAACAGTTGAATAAGATTTTTGTTTAAAAAGAATTTAAACGGAATATTTAAAGGATTTAAGTATTGAAGACTATTCTTAAATGAATACGCAGTCCCTCTCTAACAATTTAAGCTTTTTAAATCAAGATGTTCAACGTAGTATCAAAAGCAGATAAAAGTCCTAAGTTCAAGTCCCACCGCAACCAATTTATTAAAAAAATTGTGCACGTGCAAGGCTTTAATGGGAAACAATGAACCCCGGACACGCAAGGAGCATGTTGAAGACAATAATTACATGTGGCGTCTCTCTCTAGCGGCTTAGGCATTTAGGTCAAGTAGTTCAACATTTAGCAGAGAGAAAATTTTGGATAATGGAAAGTTATCCTAGTGGAGATTTCAATTTTAAAGGAATTTGAAAACAAAGCCCTAACAAAGGAACAATCTCATACAATTCATCACTCCGTCTAAGGTGCATTCTGAGATCTCGTCAATACCCACAAAAGAAAGAGTGAAGTTGCAACATTTCATTCGGCACTAAATCTACAATTGGAAACAATCAGGCAGAGTTGTATTATATACCAGCAGACACAAAAACACTTCTTGCCAAATTCTGTTAAAACAAGCAGGATTTAAAACAACCTTCTGTTGGTAGATTGAAGTAACAGCAGCAATAGGAATCTCTGCATACTGCGTGTCAGCCGGAATTATTTGATAAGTAAGTGCAGCAATAACCTATCAAATTAAAGAAATAAAAATATAAGCACATAACTAAATAATATTTTCACAATTTTACCAGTAAAGTAACCAAACAGATTAAAATATAGACTGAAATTTACGAAGTTGAAGGAATTGTTAGGGCGATTAATACTTGTACGTCATTGTAATTATAGAAAATCAAATCTATATATATGCATTCATGATTCATCTAAAGACTTGATTCCGATAGACACCTTTAATTTAGTAAACGGTACAACTTAATGATGGAGATCGTATCAGAATTTTTTTTTTTTTCGAAATGTTGGCATGTTCTGCATGTCACTGAATAGCTTGAACCATGCTTTATATTAGGTCAAATCCTAGGGAAGTATTCCCATAGGGATCATTCAAAAAGCACGAGGTCAGGATGTAGTCCTTCACTTAACAATGTACATCGCATATGTGATTGTGAAATGGAAGACATGGAATCAGGAAATTAGAATATTATATCTTTTAGGCAAAAAAAGGGCAACAGTACGCAAACTACATATCACAACCAAAACACAATTGGGTAACCACTTAATAGGCCCCTATTTGGTACCGATTAAAATTTAGATTTTAAAGTAAGTCAAAATAAATCATTCATTTCAACAACATGTTTTATGGGTCTCACAACTTTCTAACCACATATTTCATCAACTTCTATCAATCAAAATCTATTAAAAATCTTATTTTAATCCTTGCCNGGGGGGGGGGGGGGGGGGGGGGTGGACAGAGAAGTATGACACATCACTAATCAACTTATGGTTTATCTTACTATATAGAAGTGTCCAAGAATTGGTAATGTAAAAGGGAAGAGATTGGGTATATCTTAGAGATTCAGACACAGAATAAAAATAAAAGACACTGAGATTTCCTGCACTTAATTTTTTATGCAAGTGGTTGCAAATGTAACTTGCACAATGTTTTCTCTTCCCCTTTCTGAATGTATGTGTATATGTCGACATGCATAATCTCCCACTAGTTCTTTCCACACAAGCTACTGCTGTAGTTTGCAATAGCTGTTTTAAATATTGACAAAAAAATTGATGATAAACCTCAGGTGGAATGTTTTACTATTTAACCAAAGAACTTAAGATGAGAAGCATTAATATTGTGGATGCTGATAGCATACCTTACCAGAATCTTCGTCACCCTTCAGAGTCAAAGCTAATGTGCAATACTTTCTGTATCAATAAGCAACCAGATAATCTCAGAAGAGAGAAGCTGATTCAACTTGGTAATGATTATAAAATCAATATTAATGAAACAAATAAAATGCTAATTTAACATTTTGTAAATTTATGCAGTTCATATACAGCAGAATTGGGTCAAAAGCATTCCTGGGGCAGCAGTAGTGAGAATAAGCAGGTTTGAAGTGCATTGAATTATGACTATTGAGTTCACAATGCAATCTTAGCCACGCAATTAGAAGATAGGGCACGGAAAGAATCTTACCCATTTGATATGCATCTTTCAAGGAACATTGATTGCTTGCCAGTATTAGCAGCATAATTCATTGCTGGTAGTTCGTTTGAGTATATTTGCAGCACTTCCTGAAATAAGTGTGCATCATACATAAAAAGGGAAATAACTATGAATCCACAACTCAAAAGTGGTCCAGTAAAGCACCACTGAACTACAGAAGAGTATCACAGTTACATTAAATCATAAAAGACAAAATTAAACATCTAATTCTTGAAAATAAAGGATTGCTGAATAAAGAAATCAAGAAGGATGATATCAGAAACCTCATAAAAAATCCCAACAAATGCTTTTTTCATACTTTATAAAAACGGAAATAGAAACAAGAACGAATACATGTCATCTGCATAGATGAGCTAAGCTTCTCCAGGTGAATTTACGTGGAGAAAGACCTACACAAGGATCCTCAATAAGCTAGAGTTCAGGTTATTTGAGCAACATTTTAAACTTGCATTATAGAAAATTCAATATGACAAGCATAAAATCCACATAGTATTTCAGCCCATTGCTTCCACAGACCAATTAGAAAAGCAATGAGATTTTAGAAGTAACAAGTGATTGCCCCATTATACATAAATTTGGCTCCCATTCCATCAATTTTTATTTTTATTTTCAATTTGTGAAGAAAATGAGATACCTCGATAATGTCAGTCACTTGCACTAAAATGCTCCATACTAAAATGTATATGATAATCAAAACATAAATCGTACAAATGCTCATATACGCATGGAATCGTCATGTTAATTAGAAAATACCTGAATGAGAGATTTGGTCCGAACATCTGAATCTTTTGGATTAACCAGCACGAAATAACAATGACCTAAACAGTTTATATAATTCAAACACATCTTGAAAATTTTTTACAATTTACAGAGCACAAAAAGGAAATAAGATTTTAAATAAAAAAATAAAATAGTTAAATGCCATACCACTTAGATCCACCTCCTGACCCCGGAAATCCATTTTTTCCTTTTTATTGTTCGTGTCTTCCTCCACTACCACGAGCAGTAACACAATCAATCATTATAAAAAGGGAACAGAAAAATTATATATAATAAAAGAAATTACAAATTCATTACCTGAAATTTTTATTCTGGCATTTCTGGAGAGAGAAATTTGAAGACTTTTTTCATTCAATTCAGATGTGAATTTTTTTGTTTCCACAATGACTTCACAATTCCCTGGATTATCGAAGCAAAATAGTAGCTAAAATCAAAACGAAAATCACATTTTCTACGTAATTGACAAAAAAATAAAAAAACTGCTATCTTTTTCACCGATTCGGATGGGAGTGGAAGCGGGAAGCTTAGAGATTTTTCTCCGCGCCATTTCAAAATGTAGAGTAGGAAATGAGAAAACTGCTCATATTTATACGTGGGCTGTTGGCCGGGAGATTTCCTCGGGTAAAATTTTGCTAACGACCTAAGTCACTCAACTTGAAGAAATATTTCAAGTTAGTAACTCAACTTTATTTTGTTTCAAAAAAGTTACTAAATTATTTCTTTTAGTTTAGTCACTTAAATTGGCAGTTATTATTTATTTCTATTTCTTGTTTATTTACAGCCCCGGATCCATAGGAATTAAATTCAAATTTTAATTTAAATCAAAATGATACATTAATTTAAAAATCGTGCTACAATGTCAGAGAGATTGACATTCTTGATATAATGTCACATGATATTTTATGAGTGAACCGTTTAAAATACAATCAACTTTTTCATTCAATTATATTTTGTCAACACTCATTATATCAAGGCATCTGTCAATATCTTTCTGACAAACTATTTTTACTCTTAATTTTAATCACATATTAGATTAAATTCAAAACTTTTCAACCATACGTTTCATCATTTTTATTAATGTCTACTAAAAATCTAATTTTAATTCTCACCACAAAAAAATTAATTTTAATTCTCACTAAGTAGAGAAATAAAAAATTATACATTCATAGTGTGTTTGATATATATTATTGAATAAAAAATGTATTTTAAATAGTGATCTAATAGAAAATATGTAGTTAAAAAATAAGGAAATGTTATTGATATGATGAAAAATATTATTTTATTGAAAATGTGTAGTTGAAAATGAGTTTTGAAATAATGTGTTTCAAAAATGGGCTCAATAAAATATACAAGGGTTAATTTCACAAACGGTCACTAAAGTTACCTGAAAATCACAAAACGATCACTAAAATTTAAAACTTGCAGAAACGGTTTCACAAACGGTCACTGAATTTTCAGATTTTTTGGACAAATTTTGAGGCGATTTTTCGACAACTTTCAACCACCAAGACCGCCGAAGTTGGATACCGTTGGAAACCCACAATGTCCTCTTCAATTACCACCAAAAATCTCCCCATAACTCCAAGGGATTCGGCCGAAATATACCCACGAAGTCGGCTACCAAAAAATCTAAAAATCTGCCCAGATTTTTAGATTTTTTCGGCGAGTTTGCGGCAATTTTCTAGCAACTTCCGATCACCAATACCGTCGATTTCGGATACCGTTGGAAAGCCCACAATGTCCTCCTCAATCACTACAAAAAATCTCCCCATAACTCCAAGGGATTCGGCCGGAATAAACCCACGAAGTCAGCTACCAAAAATATCTGAAAATCTGCCCAGTTTGGATAGTTGACTTCGTGGGTTTATTCCGGCCGAATTCGTTAGGGTTACGGGGAGATTTTTTGTGGTAATTGAAGATGATATTGTGAGCTTTCCAATGGTATCCGAAATGGCGGTATTGTTGGTCGGAAGTTGCAAAAAATTGCCGCAAACTCGCCCAAAAAATTTGAAAATTTGGGCAGATTTTTCGGTAGTCGATTTTGTGTGTATATTTCGGCCAAATTCGTTGGAGTTATGGGGAGATTTTTGGTGGTAATTGAAGAAGACATTGTGGGCTTTCCAACGCTATCCAAATCCGGTGGTCTTGGTGGTCGGAAGTTACCGGAAAATCGCTGCAAAACTTGTCCAAAAAATCTGAAAATTCAGTGACCGTTTCTGCAAGTTTTATATTTCAATGACCGTTTTGTGATTTTCAAGTAATTTCAGTACCGTTTGTGAAATTAGCCCAATTAATATTTGACAACAATAAAATTTTGAATAATGATTTTTTAGAAAATGTATAGTTAAAAAGTGGAAAGAAATTTTGAGTTTATGTGTACAATATTTTATTGTGTAAATGTACGATTGAAAATGAGTATTTAATATAAAGAATTTTGAAATAATAATTGTTTGTGTGTATATTTCGGCCAAATTCCTTGGAGTTATGGGGAGATTTTTGGTGGTAATTGAAGAAGACATTGTGGGTTTTCCAACGCTATCCAAATCCGGTGGTCTTGGTGGTCGGAAGTTACCGGAAAATCGCTGCAAAACTTGTCTAAAAAATCTGAAAATTCAGTGACCGTTTCTGCAAGTTTTATATTTCAATGACCGTTTTGTGATTTTCAAGTAATTTCAGTACCGTTTGTGAAATTAGCCCAATTAATATTTGACAAAAATAAAATTTTGAATAATGATTTTTTAGAAAATGTATAGTTAAAAAGTGGAAAGAAATTTTGAGTTTATGTGTACAATATTTTATTGTGTAAATGTACGATTGAAAATGAGTATTTAAAATAAAGAATTTTGAAATAATAATTNTGTGTAAATGTACGATTGAAAATGAGTATTTAATATAAAGAATTTTGAAATAATAATTGTCAAACATTAGTTAATTTAATAATATAAATTGATTGAATGTGTGGTTAAAAAATTAAAAAATTTAATAAAATATATAACTAAAATTAATTAATTATTTTTGTTAAAAAAATTAACTTAATCAAACCGAACTTAATATCTATATTTTTATTGATATAAAAAAGAAATTAGTTACACAATTTCTATATATTACTATTAGGGCAAAAGAAAATGCTGCAAATACCTAAGAACATCATCTACCCAAACATATCTCCAACTCACTACACTCAAAACACCTACACTCATTTTCTCCACCACCACTTTGCCACCACTTATTCTCAAGCCCAACCTCAAGTCGGCCACCAGTCCACTAGCGCCGCCGCTCAAGCAACACCCCGGCAGCGGCAGCTCCTTCGAAAACCACCCTTGCAACCCCAAAACAAAGTTCCCTTTCCCTTTACATTCCATCATAGTAAACACACTCTCAAACCCCTTCATAACCACATTCCACGTAATTCTCAAATTATCCGTCGTGTCGAACGCCACCAATTTATCACTCTCGACGTCGATATCGAACCGGAAAACGCCATTCTTGTCGACCTCGAGTTCACCACCAGGCTTAATAATTGTAGCAATGCACGAACGCTTGTCGTTAATATCAATAGCAAAGAATATATCTTGTAAAGAAAGATGGGGCTTGAGAGGCTTTTGGACCCTGCGTTTTTCAGACATGTACCCTAAGGCGTATAACTTGCTGTATGACACTGCGGCATTGGCGGAGGCGTGGAGGTTGGAGAGAGAAGGGTACTGGGCGGCGCAAATGGGTTGCCATAGGTGGTCCGACGACATGGAAATGGACCATGATTTGCACACACACGAGGCTATGGCTATGGTTTTTGGGTCAAGATGATTTGCAACAAGAACAAGAACTTGCCACGGAGGAGAAGAATTTGAACATAATTTGAGAGACATTATTTGCAGTTTACTTCTTTAAACGTTGTCCAAATTTGTTCAGTATTTATTATCAAAGGGAAGAAAATTGCTGACATTCATAGCATGTTTTATGGGTTGTGGTTTGTAGGCAAGTGATACGTGTTGTTTCTTGCATGGAATTTTTGTGCCACGTGTGAAGATGTGCATACGTGGAAGCTGCCACGAACTCCCACGTGTGTGTAAGGGTAGTCATGCTTGAATGGGATGTTGAAAGTTGAAAATTGAAAACGTGGGTTAAGCAAAACGGTCACAATATGTTACATTCTTGGTACTCTACAATTTTTCATAATTTTTACCAAATATACAATTATAGGTTAAGCCCCCAATCATGCACTTCATGAAATTTGCAAATTTTCAATCACACGATTTTAATTAACTATTATTAAAATCTAATTTCAATCTTTACCAAGAGCTTGTCTGGTTTTTTTAAACCAAAAAATCAATTTGTGTACCTTTTTTTCCACACCTTGGGCCCCACCATGAGACAACACAGTCAAACATTACGGCTAAATAGTGCATACAGCGGTCTGAACTATATGCTTAAAATTTTTACGAGACACGGTCCAAATAGGAGCTAAAAAAGATTTTGAAATCTTGGGATGACGATATTATTGTATTTTATTGAGAGCGATGATAATGTATAATTATTCACAGGAGAATATTGCACTAGAACATTTCTAGTATAACATGAACAAAATTTAGCTTCAATAATGGCTTGATAACATCAGTCATGATATCAAGATCAAACAATAGTATCATATCAGATCGATAGATCTATTGAGTGGGAGAAAGGGATAAAAGTGTAATTATATATCCCTTTTATATAGATAGGGATCCTATTCATTCCTAAATTCCCAGATTGACTGTTCCTACCTAACTACATGAACATCATTCATGAATACAAGCTTGGAGGTGCCCAAATGAGTCAAATAAATATTTTTTTTAGGGAAACAAAAAACCCTTAGCATGATAGAATCCAATAAATTTTATATTAATTTCTCGGTTAAATTTAAAAATAAACAAATTTACTTGTACTCGATAAAGATTTTGTTGTAATTTATTGTTCAAATTATAATGATAGGTAATTTGGAATGATCAAACATCTATATTGCTGTGTCGAGCAAGTAGGAAACACCTGAGCAAAACGAGAAGAAAAAATGGAGGGGCCAAAATTTGGATTGGGTGAAGGCTAGGCACCAAGCCTTGATTGTGTTCACGCAAGACAAATTGGGGTGAATTGGGCGATCGCCTGCTCAGTTCAAAATCAGACCGATATATATGATTTTCTGATCCCTTTTTTGATGCATTTTTCATAAAAAAAAAAAATCCTTGATTTTTTCATTAATTGTTGAGGCCTGTTCGTGGTGTATGAATGATATTTTATAAATGGGAGATATATTTCATTATTTAAACATAATAAAATTACCATGACTTGAAATCATTCCATACAAGATGAGTTTTCAAATACTTCGTGCATATTCATATATTGAAAGTATTCGTCAAGTTCTAAGAAGAAAAACGCAAGTGCTCAAGTGTTTACTCTTCTTCTAGGGTTACAATCATATAAATCCTATTAAGCATCAAAATCAGTCCTAGAGGAGATAAATTTAGTTGGAGGACAACGATAACGCGTTCAAGTCATTTTCGGTGTTCGTTATTTCTTTTGGTTCTCTTTTCCATTCTTCTTGAAGGATCTATTATCAAGGATAGCAAAATGTCTTATTCCACTTCCTACATTTTTTTTTCTCATCGACTCTAAACTACGAAATTGCTCCATTGAAACAAGTAAAAAGAAGAGAGGATCTCTCAAATTCTAAGTCTTTTTGTTTTGTCGAATATTGTAAAAATGACTCCGTGCTATAGGAGACAATTGTTTCGTCACTATTGCAATTCATTGAAGGTAAAGTTTAATATCCCGTATATGCATTTTGTTGGCATCAATAAACCAAATTAAGGGATTTTAATTAATCGAGAACAAGTAATGTTAACTCTCGACAGTGACCCCCATTCATGAGGGGCTGGACTCATTGCAGACCACGAACAAAATATTTTACGTAAAGTGTTCTCAAAAAAGCTCCTCGTTCAATTTCACTCGACCTAAAAATTAACACTTTTACTAGTGAAGGCAAAATGTCCCGATCCTACTTCCATGCACTAAATTTTATTTTTAAATTAAAAACGAGACAGATTACGTAATATACTTTAACCCTCATCCCGCCTCAAAAATTCCCTAGTGCAAGGGACATAGAAAGCCCCAACCTGTCCCAACCCCTGAATGAACTCTATGCAAATCCTAAACCTAGTCCCCGTCGAATCGCCCCATGCCTCAACAGCTCTACTTAAACTTAGCTTGAAATCTCTAGCCATAATGCCGCAGCTAAAATACAAGAAGAGACCACCTTGTGGAGTTGTGGGCAAAAGGTCACTTGAAACATTTCATCAAACACCAAAATTTGGTTTCAACCGAGACTTCATAAAAGGATATGCAAACACCAAAACATGACATTTGCATTCAGTAACAATTCTATTTGTGAGATTTTGGGGCTCCAATATTCAATTTTCGGGCTCAGAAAACAACCAAACGAACACCACATCCACCAAGGCTCGACCCAAAACTCCTACACTTAGTTGCACCAAGATTTCAACCCCACAAAGGGGATATGGTGATGGTGATTGCAAGCCTACAAAGGGAAGAGGGAGAAGAGAATACAATGGTTGGAACTCACCAAGAAAACCACCATGAACCCGGCACCCTTTCTTCCATCTCTCGGCTGCCTCTCTTCTCTCCACTCAAGTGCACACTCAAACACACACTACTACACGACTGGGAGGGGGATTAAATGGGGATCAAAATAGGTCACTTAATTTGGGCCAAAGACTCTCACAAATGGGCCAAACTCCACTAAAATGGGCTACCAAATAATCCTCACAACTACCCACATAAATGGGCTAACAACTTAACCAACCAAACCAAACTTGGGTTATCCAAAAGTATAGGCCATTTTCGAGTCGAGCCAAGTCTATGGTATCGCTAAATAATCCGACAACTGTTTTAAATCATCGCCCGAATTTATTGGGTATCAAAAACCCAACACTATTCTACCAAGAAATCATTCGTTATAGAAATAAACACACGATGACAATGAATCAACTGGACTTGAATCAGACCTCGCCAGTGAAATAAATCATGGTACTTTTTGTCCAACCAAAACTAAAAAGACTTTTTTTTTATTTCTGTCCTGAATACTTGTTCTACATTATATTTTTTTTTAACATTTTCTCATAAGTTCTCATACTTGAGTCAAAAAGGGATAGTTAGAATATGAACAAGGCTAAAAAAAAGACTTTTTTTTTATTTCTTTCCTGAATACTTGTTCTACATTATATTTTTTTACATTTTCTCATAAGTTCTCATACTTGAGCTAAAAAGGGATCGTTAGAATATGAACAAGGCTAAATACAGGAGAGTCACAACCTTGCTCTATACAGAAAGTTACAAGAATCAGGAAGTGCTTTGCTGCAATCTAGTAACCAACAATTCAACGAGGCTGCTGGATAAAACGGGGGCTGCATTTTGGGCTAATGTGCTTGGCTGGCTTCTCCCAGTACTTCGCAGCTAGTTCCCTCGGAGACCTGGGATCCCTCTCTTTCGATATGTTCAATCTCTTGATCAATGCCTCTGCATCCTTTCCTAAACCTGATATCCATAACAAAATTACAGTGAACAAGTACAAATTATCATAAAATGACATCTCAAACCCGCTTCCAATAATTTTCAGACTCAAAACTCTGATTTTCGACCAGGCATATTCAAAAAGAGTAAAAGAGTCATCTAAGAACTGTTTCAAGCAAATGTGTATTCCCATCTTTTCTTTTGGGGAAAGACAACAAAAAAAACTTCCTTTTCTTCCAAACTTCCACAAATTAAAAGGTACATTTTCGTGCTACTACTAAACCAGCTGTTAAACATCAAACAACAATGAATCAGCAAGCATAAAGAGCACTCAATATGTATAATCATTGTTTTCCACTTCACATATAGATATTCAGCAAGTCAATAAACCGAATGCTGTTATCATTATGCACCACAACCAAACAATTCATAACCTCAGTTTGTAATTCAATCAAAAGACATCTATACATGTAGGAAGTACCATTTTCAGGCATTTCCTTGAAAGCCGAGAAATTCCCCTGTCCAGACTCGGAAGACTGGAGAAATTCCTCAAACTGAGCTTCCATATTGAGGATATCCTCATCAACACCGAGGTCAATGGAATCGGGCAACAAATCAGCTACATCATCACTCTCCTCGCCAAAGATATCCTCTCCCTGGTGCTGGCTAATCCAGTAGTCGCGGAACGAAGTTGATGTTGTCACTAAATTCCACCACTCAGGCGAGAAGTCTTCCACCTGGCGCATTGATGCGGGAATGAACACAGGAGCATTTGGATTAAGTGTTGACCTTCTTTCAGATACCAAAGCCATTCTTGTTTCCTATTCAAATCAAAATTACCTGGTGGAGAAGCCATTAACTAGCCTTAGTATTCAACATTAAGACTGTACTAGAATACTGAATTGCAACGAAGAACAGGAAAAATAAAGTAGAAAAATATATAAATAGCCCTTGACCAAACTAGCATTCAAATTTCAAAAGTTCCAAATATAATTCAATAACCATCAAAATTGAAAGCAAAATGATGTTTGTACCTCATTTTTCCTTCATTATTCAGGACAATCCACTTTCAAAATTCGTAAAACAAAATTTAAAAATCATCAAAACTGAAAGGAAAATATGTTTGGACCTCATTTTCCCTAATCAGGGTTGGGGTTCGACTTCAAAATTGTCAAATCATACTCGAACCTCATTTTCACCTAAATATATTTCTAAAATAAATTTTCCACTTGCAACTCAACACAACAAATCAAAATTTTTCGTTATCTTGTTCGACATTATGCCTTAGAAATCTAAGATTCACTACTGATCTTAAACAAAAAAATGGGAGAATAATAAGCACATAAAATCACAGATAAACTTTTGGAAACTCCATTTCTAAATGTTTCTGGTTTCCTTCTCAATAAAAGGTGTGGTTTTTTCATTAATTTATTGTTTTTCTTCCTACAACAAATTCAGGATCAAAAAATAGCATTGATAACTCAGATCTCAGCAGCAATTGTTAAGATCGGAAGCTAGTTTTCCTAAATCGATCATTATCTAAACAAATATCAAACTTAGCTAATAAAATCGCCGTAATCCTCAGATCAGCAAACAAAATTTAGCAAAATATCAATCAAAAAATCGAAATAAAATAATCAAAGACTGAACCTACTAGTAAGGAAAATCTCTTTCTCGTATGTCGAACCTCTGCTGAACACGTCAATGAGTCATCTTGGTCAGGCATAAGCTTTATTTATAGGCCGGCCTCCAAGCCTGTGAGGTTCGGTGACCGAACCTTAGGCGCGAAAGCATACCCGAACCTGCCCACTGGTTGACTGACTTAATGCCCCAAATTAAGGAATTGTTTGGAGTCTCACACACAACTTTTGTTTTAAATTCAAATATGATGAATTTTTCTTGATATGCAAAAACTTTCTCAAACAAGCCTTAAAACTTCCCCATTCAAAATCATTGTACATTGCGTTGTAACTGTAGTACAATATCCATTATCACGGACTATAGCCGGTGGGCAGCCAGTAAAGGATAAGAACAGAATGGCGGGCCAGTGTAGGCCCCACCATTTAAATTCTCATCATTGGGCTTTATGGGATGAGGAGATCAACGGCGGAAGAATCGGTTATGATGATCTTACGGTCGATAATAGGACACGGACTTAGGATGGCGTGTTTGTGGTGGGGCCAGAGGGACATGTAAATCCGCGTCAATCACATGGTAGGTTGGCCGGTAGACGACCAAAATCATAAACAAATTATAATTTAAACAAGATATTAATTATTTTGTCTAAAGTAGGTTAAGATAATAAGTTTATTTTGAATAATATTATGTGGAAATTACACCCCCTTACATTTGAAGATTCAATTTCTAAAATCAGATTTGGTGTTTTAAGTTTCAAAAATCAGATAACTAATATATAGATACAGATTTTTTATATTTAATTAAATATTAATAAAAATATTATGAAAATTAAATTATAACCTAAATCCCTAATTCTCACATCTCTCTCTCTCATTTGTCTCACTTCTCACCCGTGTCTCTCACTCTCTCCAGTTTAGACCAGTCGCTGCCCTCTCTCTCTCGCACCGCCACCACGCCGCCCGCCGTGCGAAGCAGATATTACAGTTTTCACAAGCCCCGGTCGTCACTCTCTCCTCACTGTCGACCAACTCTCCTCTCTCTTCGCCGTCTTCTTCTTTGTTCTCATCAGTATCGCTGCCGAGACAGCCAGCCACCACCACATCGCTGGCGCCCCAGCAACCCGGCTTACAATCCAGCAGGCAGCAGGGCGATCGCCATGCTCGCAGCGTCGCAGCTCGAGGTATCGTCGATGCGCCTCACCTTCTCCAACAGCGGCGACGCTCACCTTCTCCAGAAGCTCTGTGCAGATTGCCTTCTCTAGGAGCTCTGCGTCTATCTCTTTTCTGATTTTGTGGTGCCCGGAGTTGGGGACTGATTTGTGGTGTATGTGCAGATGGCGGTGTTGAGTTTGGGGATTTTGTTGGTAGGGTGGTGGCTGTGATGTGGTAGTGTTTGAAGAGATGTGGTTGTGGAGGTGGTGAATCTAACGGTTCGATGGCGATTGTTCGTTGTTGGTGTGTTTGGTGGCGATGGTTTCTGGTGGCAGTGGAGTGATTGTTGGTGGTGGTGGTGGTGGTGTCGTTGGCCACCGTGTAAGGGTGGCCGCGACAGTTTGTGTTTGTTGATGTGTTTTTTGGTGATTTGTCGTGGTGCGTCGGTGCAGTACAGTGGTGGTGGTGAGGTGGTGCTGTACAGTCTCTATGACCAATGCTGTGACCTGAGCCATGTGCTGTGACCTATGCTGTGACTTGAGCCTTGTGTTGTGACCTATGCTGTGACTATCAACAAAAACCTCAGCGTTCGAAAATAAAATGGGACTATGAACAAAATCGTAAGCCGTGTGCAAAATATTCTGTGACTTGTGCTGTGACCATTTGAAATAAACATTTAACTATCAACAAAAATGTAAGACATGAGCCTTGTCATTTTATCAATTATTATAAACAAACAATCATGCGTTGTGACTTGTGAC